CAATTATGTGGGACGGTCGTCCAATTGCAGAATATCACAGAAGGTGAACAATGCAAAGCAGAGACGGCGCCAAACAAGGCTCAGGAAACGAAAGATGATATGCGAAAGCGATCTGAGCTGGAACAGCGGCTAGCACTCGAAAGGAAAGAAGCTAAGCGGAAGAAGAGGGAGTTAGAGCAACAGCAAGCATTGGAGAGGAAAGAGATCAAACGACAGCGGATCGAGCTAGAGCAGCAGGTAGCACTCGAGAAGAAAATGGCAAAGCAAAAGAAGGTGATATTGGAGCAACAGAAAGCATTGGAGAAGAGAGAGATCAAGCGGAAGCGGGTCGAGCTAGAGCAGCGGCTAGCACTCGAAAAGAAAGAGGCTAAGCGGAAGAAGAGGGAGTTAGAGCAACAGCAAGCATTGGAGAGGAAAGAGATCAAACGACAGCGGATCGAGCTAGAGCAGCAGATAGCACTCGAAAAGAAAGAAGCAAAGCGAAGGGCAAGTTGAACCGGAACGTCAGAAGGCTGAGGAGAAGCAGTAAGACAGGTACGATATTGTCTGACAACCGATTTTCTCGTGAACAGGAATTCGTCCCTCTGGTCACCCGGATGCAAGGCGATCGAGGCAGAGCTCCGCGAGATCACGGGAGGCAGCCACCAGGCGTTCGGCAATGGGTCGCGGCGACTCGTCCGTCAGGACCTCTTCAGCTGAGAGGGACCCGTGACTAATAAACCTCCCTGATCGGAACTGTTGCGCGAGGAGAGAACTACCATCAAACGATCAATGAGAAAGAACAACGCCGTTGGCCGCATATATGACCTCGTACAAGACGTCCGCAGACATCGGGGAATCGATATCCATTTAGAATCCAAGATCCATGTTCTTCAGGTGCGCAATCGACTTCTAACCACGGTGCTGCTCCTCAGATGCACCATCCTTGACTTTCCTCCCTGATCGGAAAGGCGAGACCGGCCTAACGTCGACTTGAGCATCAACAGGAAGGAATGCGAAAACTTGACAGCGGAATGCCACTCCAGATATCAACCGGGAAATACGGCCGCACAGGCCAAAATGAAACGTCATTTCGATCAACTGGCTCCAGATCGGTGGGCTGTGGCTACTCCCGAACATGCTCTTTTTTCTGGAGACCATTCGGTCGACCGCACAAATCCGCCTGGAGGAGTCCATGAGCCAGGCGATTGTGGAGCTGGGGCTCCTGATCACGGATCTACAACGACTCCTTCGCATACGAGATGCCCTGTGGCGCCGAAAAGAAAGACTTCTTCAAGACGAGCTCGACAATCGGGGCCACACCAATTGGAGTCCTGATATGTACCCTGACTGGCTCCTCTTGGAGACCTGTTCAAGCGGACGTCGTTTTCACCATCACTCAGCCGGCTTCTGCCACCAACTCCGTCCTCCAACTGAATATGGGGGTCAAGGGTAAGTGAAGTCTTCCAGACCCGATGAAGCTGACCGCCTTCCAGTAAAACTTCCACCGTCATCCCGTTGGTCACATCCGTCTTAGCCAACAGGGACCTCAGAGGGGTGATTTGGCCGCAGGTGTTGGTTGGCCAACGACCCGCCGGCCTCCATACCACATCCCCCTGGCCAAAACACATGTTCGA